TGCAGGGGGGAGGGATGGAGGGAGGGATTGGGGGAATGTGGGGGTTCAGGGGGAGGGATGGGTGGAGGGAGAGGGGGATGTGGGGGTGAAGGGGCAGGAAGGATGGAGAGATTGGGGGGATGTGGGGGTGCAGGGATGGATGGACAGATTGGGGGGATGTGGGGGTGCAGGGGGAGGGATGGAGGGAGGATCGGGGGAATGTGGGGGTTCAGGGGGAGGGATGGTTGGAGGGATCGAGGGATGTGGGGGTGCAGGGGGCGGGAAGGATGGAGAGATTGGGGGGATGTAGGGGTGGAGGGATGGATGGAGAGATTGGGGGATGTGGGGTGCAGGGATGGATGGATGGAGGGATCGGGGGATGTGGGGGTGCAGAGGAGGGATGGATGGATACTCTCTGGACCAGTGCAATGAAGAAACCTGCCATTCCCCAAACAGCCACTGGGTGTCTCCCTGGGCCAGCCTAATGCTGCCCAACTTCCAGGGCGCACCCCAGCCGGAGCCAGGACACCTGGGTTCTCGCCCTGGCTCGGGGACGGGGGGGGAGCCAGTGGTTGGGGGGGGGGCTGGGAGCCAGGACTCCTGAGTTCTCCCCCCAGCTCAGGAAGGGGAGTGTGGAATAGTAGGGAAGGCTCAGGGCCGGCATTACAGGCAGGGGGCCACAAATGGGAAATTTGCCCCCCAAAGAATATTCAATGGGCCCCAATTCCTAGGCACAGGCGATGGGGTTGAGGCCGGGGCTCTGGGCGAGTGGACCTTCAGTGCCCCCAAAACACCCACGTAGACCCCCACTAACGAGACCCTGGAAAATGAATCCACCCCCCATGACTAGCAAGCAGTTCTAGTCCCCAGGCCTGCTCCGCGCACGGAGCTGCAGCCTCTGAAGTCCCAGCTGCGGGGACCTGCCTCAGTTTCCCCCCCTGCACAATGGGGGCGACAGCCCTGCCTCTCTGGGTGTGTCAGGAGAAGAGTGGGAGGAGCCCAGACGTTACGGTGACGGGCACTAGAGAAGTGGCTCAGTTCATGACCGGGGGTGTCTCTGCCCCCTCCTGACAGACGGAAATACCCGGCCCCCGTGCCAAGCAGAACGAAGGCTGCATCGCCTCCCAAATGCAGCCACTTCTGGGGTGCAGCCACTGTGTCATGGCAGAACAAGGCACCCGCTTGGGCTGGCGAGCGAAGGGGGATCCCGCACCCCACAGGAGGCGATGTGGGGCAACAGAATGGAGTTAAACTGACAGCCCACCCTGACCCCCGCTAGCTAATGTCCTTCTGGCCTGT